TGTCCATGCGGGGGAGTCACCCCTCTGTTTGCTTTGGTGACCATTGTTACTGAGAGAGAAATTGAAGGGTAATCAAAATATTGGAGTTGTCATGAGAGCAGATGGTGATGTTAAAATTTTTCAGTGGGGAAAATGTTTAGGTAACACTTAAGATGGGAATTTATCTAACATTGAAGAAATTTCCTCTCACTCCCTGGTGCATCTCCATGACAAGACACCAGCAGCAAAATATAAACCTAATATAGGTTTTAACCTATTTTTCTACTCTTCAAAAAAAAAAAAAGTTTTGGCTGTACATATGCTTAGACTGCAGGCTCAAGTCCTGCAATCCTGATCCTGGCCTCTTGACCCAAGTTCAATATCTTTGACTTTGCTTTTCAGGCCAATGGCTCACTTGACAGTGAAGCTCAGGTCTGGATAATGACCCTGGAGCCTGCACCTATTAAAGAAAAATCAACAATGGGGAGCTTCTGTAATTTCGTTACTCATAGGTGCCATTTAAGTAATATTATTTACCGTAAGTAAATTGCTGTAGTTAATGCCTTATTCACACCAGGCTGCATTTTAACAACATGAAAAATGCAGTCTGGTGTAAACAGATCCTGAAGGCATTCTTTTAATTCCAGAAAACAAAATGGTTGAAATGCTGACAGCTATGAAGTGCAGGAATCCAACCTGCAACTGATTATGGTACTTTGTGATAGTGCTGAAGCTTGTTTGCCCCTTTCTGCATTCTGCATATCCACCCCCCCAATGCCAAATAAAAAAAAAGGAATGAGCCACCACATCTACAGACTGTTAATCTGCATTGGATTATATTTTTATTGCTGGGTTTGGTTATCCTGTAAGTACAGCCATTATAGTAGCGCTTATTAGAACACAATTATCATTACTTATTTACTACTTTGGAAGATTTTACCTATAGTGTCCAGTGTGATGAATGCTTTGGTACAGTGTGAGTGACCACAAATTGCCTGTTTTTGTACAACACCTATAAACTACATATGCAAAGTGAAATAAATACAATTCTAATTATGAGCTTTGGACACCTTCAGAGTGCTAGACCTGCCTTGAAAGCATATATGCTTTTCAATTTCTTTGTGACAATGTTTGCCATTTATTTACAGGCTGTAAATCAGGAATGTCAACCTGGCATTTTATAGGCTGAATTGGGCCCTCTAGCTGATTCTCTACAGCCCTCATCAGTTTTTGGATGAATACAACAAACAGGCCTACAAATGTTCCCAGTTGATAAGTTGCTCTTATCTCTATGTACATCATTATTCAGTCTAAATGCCAACCTGCACATTGATACAGTATAGACCAATAGACAAGCGCTACAGCGCACCACAACACATGGATGGAAATGTTTTGAGCGGTATGCTGAGTTGCTTAATTTAGTGCAAAAATGTGCTCTCATGCTTTAGAGCTCATTAAGGGTCTATTTGCACAATATTTTAGGCTAGTAGCGTTTTTTTTTTAAGCTTCATCATTTAAGAGCTGAAAAAAAAGTTTATGTGAGCGTTTTTTTCCAGCAGAAAAAAAAACGCTGAAGACTCCTAAATGCTACTAAAATGCTCATAACAGCTTTTTTTCTAGCTTTTTTTCTACATGTACTGTAAAACTGACGCTCCAAAATGCTACTTAAAAGCGCTATTACCAGCATTTTATCCAGTTTTTTTTTTTTATTAGCTAAAAAAATGCTAGTGTGCATGGAGCCTTAATTTAATTATGTGGCTGGTCTGTTGACAACTTGCTTGATAAATCTTTACTTTAAAGAAGTAAGTATTTACATTCAGAACATTATGTATCGAAACTGGCATGTTTAAAAAAAAAAAAAAAAAAAAAGTACACAGGGCAAAATGTGTTTTACACCTAACGATAGTCAGACCTAAACATTAATATATTAATTGCAGTTCTTTTAATGTCAGTTATTCTATGTTGCCATGCACGCAGCCTTTAAAGTATTACTTTTAGTGTACATACCTTACTCCTATCAGACTCCTATAAGGGGCCCATTTACATTATGCCAATGTGGTACCACATACTTTACCACAACATGCAAAAACGTATGTTGCACTCATTGATGTGATTCAATGCAATTCATTCTATATTGCAGCCCAACACCTTGCAGATGTATGTGTGTGGACACATACCAATGCACTGCCAGTAATTTATGCAAATAACATTAGTGTATTGAGCAGCAACACATCTATTGGTAATGTGCATTGGGGGCCATACAGAATGAATAGAACCTCATCGCAGAATGGCTCATACAAGCAGCTAAGCAAACACTTTGCTTTACTTTGTGCTGCAGCAAAAACAATAAAATAGTGGCAAGTAACAGTGTTCTGGCTTCTCCTGATACTGCATGGTCATTAACTTGCATAACATCCCCAGTGCCCTCTGTAGCATTTAGGAAGATGAGCCAAAACATTGCCCAAAAATCATATTGTTGCTAGATGTACTTTTGTAACCAATCCAGGAATAGAATAATTTATCTTGTAGTATAAGGTTTTCTACAACTTGGGTAGATAAGTCTCGGTAGTTATGATTAACTTCTTATAACAGACCACTGTTCCCAAAACGTGTACTGTTGGTGGTATTCAGCACTGCTGTAGGTGGTGACTGGCAAGGCACAGGACTTATGTGCAGGACATATGCAAGGTCTCCAGTGATGACCATAATTGTTTTTTCCTTGAATTTCTGTTGCTGTTATTGAGTGGGTGGTATTATAATGTATCACTGGCTTCATAAGAGGATGGTAAAGTCCCCCCAATTAAGTAAGGTTTGGACTGCATATATCAGCCATTCTCAGCCAGGTTCCGTTAGACCCCAAGGTTCCTCCAGGGTTCCTTGAGCTGTGGTTATTTGAATTCCAATCTGATGGTGCCTGCATAGTTCAGAGTCCAACACTACTTGTCAGGGTGAGGAGCATGACAATAGTGATCTTTTTAGATGTCTGTAATGGTGGCATTCTAATACTGTAAGTGGGCTTTCTTCCCACTGAATACAAATGTAAGGAGCATTTTCCAATTAACCCTTGAATAATTTTTTTCAACCAGGGTTTCCTGAGACCTGAAAATTATTTTAAGGGTTCCTTTGGGATAAAAATGTTGTAAAGGGCTAGTCATACTACAGCAAAGTCTTGTACTGCTTTAGTATGAACAGGTTGATTAAAAAGACAAGATGGAGTGTAGCACTACAAAATTCTTCACAATATACATTTTTTTGGTCTATAAAAAGATAAAAACTGGTATAACCTATTCCTTGATTGTGTCTTTTCGCTAAGTTAAAAGGGACATTCACTTTTTAATGGTTTAGAAAACTGTGACTGGAAAAGCATATATTTATCACTATGTTGTAATTCCAGTCTCATCAGTTCAATGAGAATGAATGAAGCACAGAGGAGAGTTGACTAGTTCACTGTTTGCATTTAATCTGAGCCAATTAGAGCTGAATGGCTGCAAATAGCTTGTAATGTATTTCAGAAAAAGTGAACATTTACAGGTCCGATCACAAAGCTGATAGAAGTGTTTTTTTTATTTAAAAAGTCATCCCTTTTTGACCTATGTAATGATGCAAAGTTGAGAAATTATCATTAAATAACAACGCATACTGATGTTAATTAATAGTGTCAGTTAACATGTGGTAGCCAGAGCAGACAGCCTGGGAGGAGATTAGCTGAGATTACCCGTGTTGTGTTTTTAATCTTAGCCCAGTTCCCAGTGGCAAAGCATATTTTCAAAATCATTCCTCTTTTTACCAATTGTACAAGCCCTGAAACCTGAACAGTTTTCAATAGTTTCAGTGTTTGGGATTTTTCTTGAAGGCTTCCCTGCAAGAACAGTCATGGCTTTTTCTACAGGATTTTTGCATGTTTCTGGCTTTTACCCCTCCAAGCAGATATCAAGAGCTCCGTGCTGAGAATGTCTGCCATGACGTTTTGTCTAGGTTGTAGAAAATCTCCAAGGTATTAAATCCATCGCGTATTCTTTTTGTTCTTCAAATATATTTAATAGCACATACATATTTGGTGTTGTATTGGATGCAATTTATTTTTAAATATGGCAGTTACCAGTTTATTAGTTTATGTATGCAAGTAGATGTTTTGTTTTATTCATCTAATTTAATATTTTTCTGAGTGTTTTTGTTTTTATTCTGAAAAAAAATAGACAAATTCATTTGTGTGTGTTAATGAGATGTCTAGAGTTTAGTCTGCAGATAATTTTTGTTATTTTTTTCTCCTGTTTTAGTAAATGTTGGCATCCTTCTATCCTAAACATATAGTTGTTAGCTATGTCTAGTCTGTGTCTCTTATCTGAAAGAGACAGTAGCTTGTTTTCTAACAGCTGTTTGTAAAGATGAGCCCTCTATAGTATGACAGTGGGAAGTATGATTTAAAAATATCTCCTTATGAAGTGTATTTAGTACACTTCATTGAGAAAATTTGTTTTGAGGAGTTTGTCTAAAGAAGTTACCAAGGTGAGTTTGCTTTTTTAGTTGGAAAGGGGTATATAATGCTGTGTAAGGAGTTGTTCTGTAGATAAAAGCTCCACTTAACTGTGTAACAATGGCTATATTTTTTTTTTTGGAATTCAATGAGAAGATGCATTTTAAGGAGAATTGCATGCAAATATTGCAAGAATGTATTGGCTGTATATGATATTATAATTAAAAAAAATATATTATATAATAAATATATAATGCGCTGTAAAAATTGCTTTAGCTATGCTCCAAATAAAATGCACTGCATATATTGTATATGTGACCTTTAAGAATACTCTGTTCTACTTTCTGAAATGTTGATTGGTCGGCATTGCTCCTGTTTATTAATTCATGCACTGAGACCTTTGTAAGTGAAGATCCCTGCTGTTTCACAGCTGAAACATCATTAATCATTCAAATCCTTAGACAAATCCAGTATTACAGTTTTTAACCCTTTGCATGCCAATGCCTTCTCTTCCTTTGGTCTCATAAAAACAATATTCTGTTTTAAGAATGGAGGCATCCTGTCTTGAGCTGGCTTTGGAAGGGGAGCGGTTGTGCAAGTCAGGAGACTGTCGGGCTGGAGTTTCTTTTTTTGAGGCGGCCGTACAGGTGGGAACAGAAGACCTGAAAACTCTGAGTGCCATATACAGTCAGCTGGGGAATGCATATTTCTACCTGCATGAGTACAACAAAGCATTGGAATACCACCATCATGATCTAACACTAGCAAGGTAAATGCAAAAAATTAGTGAGATTGTAAATATTGTTGGGGAGATTTCAAGCTGGGTAATAGTCCAAGGAATGCATGGCCTGCTTTCTAGGATTATTATGAGGTATCAGTGTTTGTTATACATGATGAAGCCTAAATACAGACTTGCATGTGAACAGTAATTGTATTCCTGTGTTGTAACCACACAGGAGAATAATAACTAATGCACTGTTAAAGTGAAGTATCACACCTACCTTCATGATAAATAGCACATTTCTGATGTGCATTTCTGCAAAAGTTGTTTTTTTTTTTCCTTTTGTGCTGTTGTTTGCTCTTTTTAAGGCCCTGTTCACACCTGAGCAATTTTCAGCTCAAAACATTTCAACACAGAGTCTCTTGAAACTCATCATTCCGAAATGTGCATTAGCTTCTTTTGGGGCAGAATTACCTGTTTTGACCCTAATAGACTTCACTAGGAGCACCTGAATTTTCACGCGTTTTCTTGCTTAGGTTTCCATTGGCTAAAAAATATTTTGCAGAAAAAAAAATTGCTTAAGCCTGAAATGCATGCAAAAACACCTGTACAAAACCAAAAAAAAAAAAAAAACTTGAAAAATGACCAAAGGCGCTCAACTAAAGCATGAATGGGGCCCTATCGTGTTTTAAAAATAAACTCCTCTCTCCCGGTGTTAACTTACCATAGAAATGGAAGACCGTTGCCAAAAATTTTGCCATACAGCAATTAAAAAAAATTTTTAATGGCTTCCGGAAAGGCACAGGTGACATCCCTGTGTCTCACTGCCTAATGTCATGAGAGCTGTATGCTCAAAATTCTTGGAGGGTATTCTTTTGTACTCTATACATGGAAAAATGTGTTTTTCATAGAGTCTCTTGAAACTCATCATTCCAAAATGTGCATTAGCTTCTTTTGGGGCAGAATTACCTGTTTTGACCCCAATAGACTTCACTGGGAGCACCTGAATTTTCACGCAGATTGAGATAGTGCTGTGCAGGTAGGAGCAAATGCCTTGATGTTTCTGCTATAGATTTTTATGTTAACTTATCCCAGTTTCAAAAACTAATAGAATCATTAATCACTTGTATGAAGAGATACTGTTTAAAAAGCTTTATTTAAAAGGTGTCCTAATAAAATTCAAAATCTTATTTCTACCTATGCAGAAACAGAGATGTTTCACATATTTTTTGAGTTTTCTGTGCAGCTAGTAAAGCCATCCATAGCCATGGATTGAATCTCGGTTGGTTCAGCAGGGACTGGCCGAGATTCAATCCATCTATAGACAGGCTTGTTGTAATAAAATCGGTCGACTTTAGTACAACCAGCCTGTTGAATTTTTTGCATGCAATCACTGTCAGCGGCTATAGTTGCTAGCAGTTATCATTGTGTTCTGCTGGCAAGGAAGACTCCCGAAGGCAGAACACAATAGCGCTGCGTAAGGGCTGTCCCCTGAATGACTGTGTTGATGGAATCAATTTTTCTTTCATGCAACCACAAAGAAAATTGTGTCATCTATGGCCTACCTTACTCTGCAGACTGCTAGTTTTGACACCAAGAAGGCAATTGGCTGAGTTCTTAGATAGGCATTTGAAATGGGCACTCCTTACTAGTATTACTATACCTGAAATACATTGGCTTCTAATAATTTTCTGCAAACCTTATAAAGCAATGAATGTCATTAAAGCTTATCTTCATGTTTAATGTCCCTTTAAATAGTTTGTCTGTTTGGCCCAAACTAACTGAGGTGTGCTTGCTGGACGCTCTGTATTTTCTGTATGTAGTCTCAGCTACATACATTATTCAGCACTGTGTTCTGCCCGTGAGATGGGGACTGCCCATCTCTCTCCTGGAACAAAAGAGTTGCACTGAGTGCCTTTCAATCATTCACAGGAAGATTTGTATTCTATGGCTTAATCAGAGATTGTGTCGTCATTTGCCCTCCTCTGTCTCAGCCAATTAGAGGAAGATTTTTTCATAGAATACATAGCTTCCCGTGAATGACTGAGTGGTATTCGGCTCGACTATTTTGTTCTGAGAGTGAGACAGGATGTTTCTCTCACACTGCCAGAACACAGCACTGCATACTTTATGTAACTGAGGCTACCTACAGTTAATACAGTGTGCCCGGCAAACACACCTTTTAGTGCAGTAAATCTTTTGTTTGTTTGGGCAAGCTTGGGCTGAACAAACTATATAAAGGGATATTAAATGTGGAGATCAGCTTTAAGGGTTTGTTCAAATTAACCAGATTGTAATTCATGTTTTAGTGACCATTTAAACTTTTAAAGTATTAGATATACAGTGGGTATAGAAAAGAACCACCCCCTTTAAAGTATTCACATTTTCTTGCTTTGCAGCCTGAAATGAAGACACACATTTTGTTTTATCCAGCTGCGTTTACTCAGTGCAACTTATAATATCCAAGTGAGAAAAATACCACCAACATGTCAGAAAAAAAAAATCAAAAACAGAATCAGTTGGAAAAATTATCACCCCCTCCTAAAAATTGTAAACTCATTCAGGTGTAGCTATTCACTTTCTCAATGGCACACAAAGCCACTGGACTTTCAGCTGTGATCAGCTGTGGTCATATTGATTAGCTCAGCATGAAAAGAGCTGTCCTGAAGCATTTCAGACTCCTTTAGTGCAACTGAGGCAAACAATAAACTATGGCTTGCAAGTCACTGTCAAAGGATTTCGGGGATAAAGTTGTGGACAGGCACAAGTCAGGAGATGGATACAAAAACATTTCAAAGACTTTATCAATGCTTAGAAGCACAGTGAAGTCTATTATTAAGAAGTGGAAGGTATTTGGCACAACACAAACCCTTCCTGAATCAGGACATCGTTTCAAATTGGATGAAAGAGCCAGGAGGAAACTGGTTAGAGAGGCTACCAAGAGGCCTACAGCAACTCTGAAGCAGTGGCAGGAATTTATGACAAAGAGTGGCTTGTATGGGAGGGTTGCAAGAAAAAAGCCACTCCTCAAAAAAGGCCACATGCAGTTACGTCTGAGCTTTGCCAGAACACACCTTGAAGATTTTGCGGCCACATAGAAAAAGGTGTTATGGTCAGATGAGATTGAAATTGAATTATTTGGCCTCAACACTAAATGATATGTCTGGTGGAAATCCAATATATCTCACCATCCAAATACCACCATTCCTACATTATAGCATGGAGGTGGAAACACCCTGTTATTGGGGTGTTTCTCTGCAGCAGGGATTGCAGCACTTGTCAGGTTAGAAGGAAAAATGGATGGATCAAAATACCAACAAAATTCTTGAGGAAAATCTGCTGCCCTCTGCCAGAAAGTTGTCAATAGGAAGAAGGTTTACTTTCCAACATGACCAATGACCCAAAGCACACAGCAAAAATGACCACACAGTGGTTGAAGGAGAAAAAGGTAAATGTCCTTGCAAGGCCTAGTGAGAGCCCAGACTTAAACCCCATTGAAAATCTGTGGAATGACTTGAGGACTGCAGTCCACAAATGTTCACCATCAAATTTACTTGAACTTGAGCAGTGCTGCCAAGAACAGTGGGCAAATTGAGCAGCACAGTGGCTAAATGGGTAGCACTTCCGCCTGGCAGTACTAGAGTTGCTGGCTAAAATCCCGACCACGGCACCTCCTGCCTGGAGTTTACATGTTCTCCCTGTGCCTGCGTGGGTTTCCTCCGGGTACTCTGGTTTCCTCCCACTCTCCAAAGACATGCTGGTAGGTTAATTGGCTCCTATCTAAAGTGGCCCTAATATGTGTATGTATGGATGTGAGTTAGGGACCTTAGATTGTACGCTCCTTGAGGGTTAGGGACTGATGTGAATGTACAATATATATGTAAAGCGCTGTGTAAAATTGACAGTGCTATATAAGTACCTGAAATAAATAATATAATAAATAATAAAATAAATAAATATTGTGAAGTCTAGATGTGCAAAAATAGTAGAGACATATCACAACAGACTAAAGGCTGTAATTAAAGCAATTGGTGGTTCAACAAAATACTGACACAAGGGGGTGATCCTTTTTCCAACTCAGTGATTCTGTTTTTTATTTTTAGAAAAAAAAAATTCGGACATGTTGGTGTTATATCCTTCACTTGGATGTTATCAATTGTACTGAATAAATACAGCTGGATAAAAAAAACTGCCTTCATTTCAGGCTGCAAAGCAACAAACTGTGATTATTTTAAAGGGGGTGATTCTTTTCTATACCCACTGTACCTGCAATCATAATAAGTGCAGAAACTATGCCTTGTTTCTCTTGCTTGTAGAGTGTCTACTCTATACTCTAATAAAAAATGAAGTTCTGTAAATGAATAATTGTTTTTGTTGATCTTGCAGAACAATTGGCGATAGACTCGGGGAAGCCAAAGCCAGTGGAAATCTTGGCAACACTTTGAAAGTCTTGGGTAATTTTGATGAAGCAATTTTATGCTGTGAGAGGCACTTGGACATTTCTCGAGAGTTGTTTGATAAGGTATATTAATTGGTGTGATAGTGTTTGCTGTAGCATTTTAATTTCCTTCCTGATGAATATGTGGCTGGTCTTATCTCATATTTCATGCTTGCTTAGGCGCATCCTTCTGATGATAGCCCTCATTTTCAATTTATAATGTAGATCAGCTTACAGTGCATCCACATGCATTTTCAAATACAAAGCAACTTGTTATATTTAAAACTGTTAGAAGAGAAATATAAAATAGGATATCTGTGGAAATATAGGAGGACATTTTACAGTGATGGGTTAGTCCTATTGTGGGTTTATTTTAAAGCATTATTTAACTTGAACCCGGAAGGAAGACCTGGCGAAATTGGAAGCACCAGGAGTGGTTACAGCTCAGCACTGGAGGGCATCATTTCACAGTAAGTCTGTCATAATGTGCTAAAATGTGGTGTAGACTAGAACATTATAGCATAAACCAATTGGCACTAGAGAATGGAAGGCCTGGAAAAAAAAAAACAGAAAAGGTTTTTGTTTTTCTGTTTTTACTTTCAAAGCCGTTTCCCCCCCCCCCCCCCCCCCCCCCCAGAAAAATTGGGAAAACAAGAAGTGTGGAATATCTTCTTTCACAATGATAAATAATATATCTATGACATGGTGTTCAGACTATATAACAGGAAGACCTTAAAGTGGCATTAAAGGTTCGGCTTTTTTTTTTCTTTTTTCAAATAACAAACATGTTATACTTACAGGTGAAACTCAAAAAATTAGAATATCGTGCAAAAGTGCATTTATTTCAGTAATGCAACTTAAAAGGTGAAACTAATATATGAGATAGACTCATTACATGCAAAGCAAGATAGTTCAAGCCGTGATTTGTCATAATTGTGATGATTATGGCTTACAGCTCATGAAAACCCCAAATCCACAATCTCAGAAAATTAGAATATTGTGAAAAGGTACAATATTCTAGGCTCACAGTGTCCCACTCTAATCAGCTAATTAAGCCATAACATCTGCAAAGGGTTCCTGAGCCTTTAAATGGTCTCTCAGTCTGGTTCAGTAGGAATCACAATCATGGGAAAGACTGCTGACCTGACAGTTGTGCAGAAAACCATCATTGACACCCTTCATAAGGAGGGAAAGCCTCAAAAGGTAATTGCAAAAGAAGTTGGATGTTCCCAAAGTACTGTCTCAAAGCACATTAATAGAATATAGTTATGTGGAAGGGAAAAGTGTGATAGAAAAAGGTGCACAAGCAGCAGGGATGACCGCAGCCTGGAGAGGATTGTCAGGAAAAGGCCATTCAAAAGTGTTGGGGACTTTCACAGGGAGTGGACTGAGGCTGGGGTCAGTGCATTAAGAGCTACCACACACAGACTGATCCTGGACATGGGCTTCAAATGTGGTATTCCTCTTGTCAAGCCGCTCCTGAACAACAAACAACGTCAGAAGCGTCTTACCTGGGCTAAAGAAAAACAGACCTGGTCTGTTGCTCAGTGGTCCAAAGTCCTCTTTTCTGAGGAGAGCAACTTTTGCATCTCATTTGGAAACCAAGGACCCAGAGTATGGAGGAAGAATGGAGAGGCACACACTGCAAGATGCTTGAAGTCCAGTGTGAAGTTTCCATAGTCTGTGTTGATTTGGGGAGCCATGTCATCTGCTGGTGTTGGTCCACTGTGCTTCATTAAGTCCAGGGTCAACGCAGCTGTCTACCAGGAGATTTTGGAAAACCTCATGCTTCCTTCCTCAGATGAGCTTTATGGGGATGCTGACTTCATTCATTTCTAGCAGGACTTGGCACCAAAACCTGGTTCAATGACCGTGGGATTACTGTGCTTGATTGGCCAGCAAACTCACCTGACCTGAACCCCATAGAGAATCTATGGGGCATTGCCAAGAGAAAGATGAGAGACATGAGACCGAATAATGCAGAAGAGCTAAACCTATCAATCAGCATGAGACTATCTATACCAATAGTGCTCCTTAAAGAAAAGTCAATCACTTTCACCCTTGAAAGCTAACAAAAAAACAAATACACCTTTTCTTTCCAATAATCTGTATCAAATACCCATTCAGAAGTGTCCACAATGTCCTTAATCACAATATATATACAATTCTATATACTAAAGTCTTTTCTTCCTCCAAGATGAATGTCTCTATTTAATCACCGTGAAGTTCCAGATATTCTGTGTACCTCAAAAAAACATAAACTCCAAATAGTGTAATACTCTTGGTAAATATCAATATGTGCCACTCATCGTGAATCATGCAAACCGCATAAGAATAACGTGTGCACAACACACGTGAAAAAAAAATGTATAAAATTTATATTATATCTATGTATATTAACAAAAACATTAAATATACAATGAATAATCCTGCAAACGTAAATCCACTCTATTTGTGAACACTGCAAACAAACAACAGTGACTCACTCCAGTAATGTGTATAAACACACTGAAAATCAAACAGTGATCACACTGTTACACCACTCTATCCAAAATCACAATATACCACTCCAACTCGTGTAACAGTGAATAATTACCCTATATAAGTATCAGAAGGGCATATCACAAATACAGGATGGCAGCATTCTCCAGGGTCCAAGTTATTCCTGAGATTTCTCCTCCATTCTCCTCATGGAATAAATCAGGGATTTTAGAGATGATGGATTGTAAAATATAGTAATATTTATTCTCCAACCTACATTAAAATTCGAAGATGACAACTCCCAATGGCAGAGACAGCTTAAAAAGTTTGTGTTAGGCAAGGAAACAACCACATGTTCCCACTTCCAAAATGGCCACGATCGCACTTCTTGTAAACGTAGGTGCGTCAGACCCTGTTGAATTTCTTATGTTTTCTCTTTTTAACCAATTCAATACCGGGCAATTTTACACCTTCCTGCCCAGGCCAGTTTTCAGGTTTCAGCGCTCTCACACTTTGAATGACAATTGCGTGGTCATACAACATTGTACCCAAACTAAAATTTTGTCAATTTTCTTCACACAACTAGAGATTTCTTTTGGTGGTATTTAATCACCGCTGGGGATTTTATTTTTTGCTAAATTAACAAAAAAAGACCAAAAATTTTGAAAAAAAAAACACGTTTTTCTTTGTTTCTGTTATAAAAGTTTGCAAATAAATAATTGTTCTTCATAAATTTAGGCCAAGATGTATTCTGCTACATGTCTTTTGGTGAAAATAACCCAAATTAGGATGTATTTTTTAGTTTGTAGGAAAGTTATAGAGTTCACAAACTATGGTATAGATCTGAATATTGATCAATCCTGAAGTACTGACAGCCAATCTAATTTCTTGAGGTCCAAGAATGTCAGAACAGCACAGATATCCCCCAAATGACCCCTTTTTGCAAAGTAGACAGTCCAACGTACTTCCTAAGAGGCAGGGCGAGTTTTTTGAAGTTGTATTTTTTTTGTCATAATTTTTCGGAAAATTAAAAAATTGAAAACATTAGTTTCACTATTTTTTTTTTACATACTGTCACCAGTGCAGTACAGCGTCAATTTAACAGGCATGGCGGTGATCAGGGACACTGACTGGTGACAGTATGAAAAAAATATATATATATAATATATATATATATTTTTTTTTTTTATTAAATTTTTTTTTTTTTTCATATTTCACTATGACCAAAGTAGTACAATGTTACCATAATAACATTGTACTACTTTGGGAAAGTGATCAGTATTTTTTTATTTTTTGTTTTATTTTTTTTACACAATTTGCTTATAGCAAAGAATTACTTTGCTATAAGCAAGCATTTACCTGAATGACATCGATTCATTCAGGGTTTTTTTTTTTTTTTTTTTTTGTGCTTAGCTGTGATTTGGCCACAGCTAATCACATGACATGTGCAGAGAAAGAAAAATTATTGCTTTTGCAACCTTTATGGATATAAAAGCAATCAGTGTAAAAAAAAGAAAAAAAAAATCTTCATTACCCACCACAAATAGTACAGTGTCACTATGGTGACACTGTACTGCTAGGGTGACGGTATGTTAAAAAAAAAAAGAAAACATAAATAATAAAAATGTAAAAAAAAAATTTTTTAAATTCTAATTTATGGTTATAAACTAATTTGGGTTAATTTTTTTTTTTTTTTTTTTTTTTTACTAAAAAGATAGCTGAATACATTTTGGCAAAGATTTATGAAGAAAGAGAATTTTTTTTTCAAAATGTTTGGACTTTTTCATTTATATAGCAAAAAATAAATGAATAAATACCACCAAAATAAAAATGTTATCTGTCTCAGAAAAATGCTAAAATATTCATATGGGTACAGTGTTGCATGACCACGCAATTGTCATTCAAAGTGTGATAGCACTGAAAGCTGAAAATTGGCCTAAACAGGAAGGGGGTGAAAGTATCCGGACTTGAAGTGATTAAAGCGGAGCTCCACCCAAAAGGGGAAGTTCTGCTTTAAGGACTGCTCCCCCGCCCCCCATTAAGGATTGGCAGCTTTGGGGGGCGGGGGGGAGCGGGTACCCGAAGTTGACACGTACCGGCTCCCAGTTGCGGTCGGACCACCTAGGCGATCGGAAACAGGAGGTGTCCTCCTTCCTTCCCTCCCCATATGCTTCTGGGACACGTGACAGGTCCCAGAAGACTACAGGACCATTCATGAAGCTCAGCGCTACTCGTGTATGCGCAGTGGGTACCCGGCTGTGAAGCCGCAAGCAATCACAGCCGGGTGCCCACACTGAAGATGCCAGCCTCCAGAAATCCAGGATGGCAGGTGAAAGGGGCTGCGGGGGACACACCATGGGACCGAGGGACAGGTAAGTGGCTGTTTTTTAAAAGTCAGCAGCTACAGATTTTGTAGATGCTGACTTTTATTTTTTGACAGGATGAATGAAACTCCGCTTTAAGTTCTGTCCCGTCCAGTTGTCTTTTGCTATATTGCAGAACCCCTCCCCCTTTCCTTAATTCCATAACAGATGGAAGAATTGTTTTGAAGTCCAATATATAAACTGTGGGGGCTGATTACAGCCCTTGATATAGCACAGGTTTGCACGAGACACAGGCTAGCTCTGAATTTCCAGCAGGATGGGTATTTTAATTGCTTGTATCGAACAATGTTTGCATTCTTCACTTGCATGGTATATCCACATAGACATCTGTGGGGATGGAGATGCTTGGTAGACTGTCCTATAAAAATCTCTGAAGGATCTACTGTGCAGTTGCAAGAATGAATGCGTTTTGCAGCAGGAAATGGCCCCAGGATGTAAGAAAACATGCATCTGAGGAGGGTGGGGTACTTTTAGGTCTGGGGTAAAAAAATAAGTGCACTTTACTTAGGAAGATCAGGATTGCCCAGGAAGGCAAAAATTGTAATCGTTTTACTCCCTAATGCGTTCAAAAATGTTTTCACAACCATCTACTGACTCAAATATTAATTGGATGGATGACCGATATGGATTTGCTGTCATAGGATCCAAAAACCTTTTAGATTTTGTTGCCAGTGGGTTTCTGATGTTTTTACTAATCTAATGTCATCCTAAAAAAATTACTTATTTAACAACATTTATATTACAATGTAGAACCTTTGGCATTTTTAAAGGAATGATAGCCTATCCATCCAGTGCTTTTCCTAAATTCAGGAATAGCTGTAGAGTACTAATGCTCAAATTCTACTTCGTGTCATGTCCTGGGAACCCAAATTGATTAGAAATACTAAATAGTATAAGTATTCTCTATTCTGTTCTGTCCTTAATAAATATATAAGTGAAGGATTTTTTTTTATAACTGTGAGTTGAGAAGGCAGATCCACTAATAAAATCTAGCTTCACTAGATTATGTACAGTCAGGTCCATAAATATTGGGACATCGACACAATTCTAACATTTTTGGCTCTATACACCACCACAATGGATTTGAAATTAAACGAACAAGGTGTGCTTTAACTGCAGACTGTCAGCTTTAATTTGAGAGTATTGACATCCAAATCAGGTCAACGGTGTAGGAATTACAACAGTTTGCATATGTGCCTCCCACTTGTTAAGGGACCAAAAGTAATGGGACAGAATAATAATCATAAATCAAACTTTCACTTTTTAATACTTGGTTGCAAATCCTTTGCAGTCAATTACAGCCTGAAGTCTGGAACGCATTTAACATCACCAGACGTTGGGTTTCATCCCTGGTGATGCTCTGCCAGGCCTCTACTGCAACTGTCTTCAGTTCCTGCTTGTTCTTGGGGCATTTTCCCTTCAGTTTTGTCTTCAGCAAGTGAAATGCATGCTCAATCGGATTCAGGTCAGGTGATTGACTCTTTGGTTGCTTTTGCAGTATGCTTTGGGTCATTGTCCATCTACACTGTGAAGCGGCGTCCAATGAGTTCTGAAGCATTTGGCTGAATATGAGCAGATAATATTGCCCGAAACACTTCAGAATTCATCCTGCTGCTTTTGTCAGCAGTCATGTCATCAATAAATACAAAAGAACCAGTTCCATTGGCAGCCATACATGCCCATGCCATGACACTACCACCACCAGGATCATGAGCAGTTCCTTTCCTTCTCCATACTCTTCTCTTCCCATCACTCTGGTACAAGTTGATCTTGGTCTCCTCTGTCCATAGGATGTTGTTCCAGAACTGTGAAGGCTTTTTTAGATGTCGTTTGGCAAACTCTAATCTGGCCTTCCTGTTTTTGAGGCTCACCAATGGTTTACATCTTGTGGTGAACCCTCTGTATTCACTCTGGTGAAGTCTTCTTTTGATTGTTGACTTTGACACACATACACCTACCTCCTGGAGAGTGTTCTTGATCTGGCCAACTGTTGTGAAGGGTGTTTTCTTCACCAGGGAAAGAATTCTTCGGTCATCCACCACAGTTGTTTTCCGTGGTCTTCCGGGTCTTTTGGTGTTGCTGAGCTCACCGGTGCGTTCTTTCTTTTTAAGAATGTTCCAAACAGTTGTTTTGGCCACGCCTAATGTTTTTGCTATCTCTCTGATGGGTTTGTTTTGTTTTTTCAGCCTAATGATGGCTTGCTTCACTGATAGTGACAGCTCTTTGGATCTCATCTTGAGAGTTGACAGCAACAGATTCCAAATGCAAATAGCACACTTGAAATGAACTCTGGACCTTTTATCTGCTCATTGTAATTGGGATAATGAGGGAATAACACACATCTGGCCATGGAACAGCTGAGAAGCCAATTGTCCCATTACTTTTTGTCCCTTAACAAGTGGGAGGCACATATGCAAACTGTTGTAATTGCTACACCGTTCACCTGATTTGGATGTAAATACTCTCAAATTAAATCTGACAGTCTGCAGTTAAAGCACATCTTGTTTGTTTTATTTCAAATCCATTGTGGTGGTGTATAGAGCCAAAAATGTTAGAATTGTGTAGATGTCCCAATATTTATAGACCTGACTGTAAATCTCTGGATATAGTTATTTCAATGGATACAGTAACTTTATCCGACTTGCAGTGTTTCTCAGAATGAAATAGCAGTTTAATCAATGATTTCACTTGTTGCCTGAAGTTGCTTTGTTTTAAAACACTTGACCATTGGTTTTTAAGAATTTGTTTTGCATAATGCTCAATATCAGTGTTTATATTTTTTTCCTGAACAGGTTTGAACTGAACTGATCTGTCCTGATCAGATTAACACAATGCTAAGTATTTTTTTTTTTCTTACCCAAACAGGTTGGGGAGGCTAGAGCACTTTACAACCTGGGAAATGTGTACCACTCAAAGGGAAAAAGCTTGGCATGCATTGGGACACGTGATCCTGGAGAGTTTCCAGAGGAGGTGAAAATAGCCCTACAGAAGGCTGTGGATTTTTATGAGTAAGTAGGAGGGAATATTTTTGTGCTTTTGAGGATAGTGGACCTAATAACCTAAATGAACTTCATGGTTGAGTAAGGTAAAGCTATGGCCTCCCTTTAATAAAAATGTGCTGCAGCACTTAAAGAGGAGATACAGTCTCCGATCATAACTGGAGATAAAAAACAGAATCTGACCCCTTACAAGTCACTGCATATACTTTTTATGTTTTATGTCTTTTATGTCTTTGTGCAATTTTTACTTGCCTGAAATAACAGGAAATCTCTTTAACAACTTTCTGGTAGTGGCCATTGTTATTGTGGGCATGTGAAGCTGACACCAATATACTTCTTCGTCTAGTACAGCTGGATATCCAGCATGCTACTGCTGTTCTTGCTCCTGCACAGTGAAGACACTGTGCGGCGTGCATTGTTAACAGGTCACCCGCCTATAATTGTGTCATTTCCACTTTGAAAATAAACACGATGCCAGAAACAGAAGATGCCCGTTGACCACTGGGATTGATACTTTTTAAATAATGAACTAAAAGCCAATATCCAAACTGTAAATGTGGAGGTATCAACAATTTATTGAGGAAAACTTGTTCAAGAGGGTCAAGCTCCGCTTTAAACCAAAGGAGACTGAAGGATTGTAACCTGGAATAAGAAAACAATTGCTGCAAAAGTGACTGCAGACCTTCATCTCAGTCACTGGACTGTGATTGACCTCTGCAGTGACTTTTGCAGCAGTTGCTTTTTATTCTAGGTCACAATCCTGTGCAATGTCTTTTTGTCTCTTTCATTCTGTTGACCAGATCGACCACGCTTATGCTCTTCAAACGACGATTTCCTGGAAACCATATATGCCGTTCTAACCTTTGATACTGTACCTCACGAAACAATAAATAAATTGGCAAATTCAGTTAAAGAGGCACCAGCTAAGCGGGCACCAACAGTATTTCCTCTTTGAAGCTCGGTAAGCACAAGGCTGCATGCAGTCACAGGTAGCACCGACCTTCATAAGTCAGTGTGCCAAAAAAACATTGTCTTGAGCTGTGCTATTTTGACCACGTGCGTTACCACATCTGCTATTTCATCATGGACAGCAAGTTAGACCAAAGAGCAAATGTGAAATTCTGCGTGAAACTAGGCACATCTGTCACAGGGACGTTTTACATGATTTGCCAACTTTACGACGATTCTGTAATGAGTCGTTCAAGGTGTTTTGAGTGGCATGTGCACTTTTGGAACAGAAGAACATCACTGGAAGATGAGAGATCAAGAAGACCTTCAACGAGCTCAACCCCCGAAAATGCCCTCTTCCCGATGATGAAGATACAGCTCAAGGGTTGCTGTTTTGACAAAGTTGCGGAGATCCAGCAATTTTCCCAGTTTCACACAGAATTTCACATTCGCTCTTTGTTCTAACTTGCTGTCCATGATGAAATAGCAGATGTGGTAATTCACCTGGTCAGAATAGCACCAGTTGCACAGCCCCCAATGCACATAGGACGATGTCTTTTGGCACACTGACTTCTGAAAATCGGTGCTCCCTGTGACTGTGCGTGCATCCTTGTGCTGCCATCTGTTGGCATGTTACAAAATTAGTCTCAAAACCTTTTTTTTTTTTTTTTTTATATTCATCTCTTTATTATGTATTTATACAAACAAACCTTAAAACATCTTCCTATACATCATATGCTTTCTTATTTTCCCATAATATACATACATTCATTAACCCACTCCACTCCCCCCCCCCCCCCCCCCTACCCATACCACCCCCCCCCCCCCCCGTCATCACAACCTTGTCTCTATCTGTATCCATTTTCCCTTATCTTTCCTTTTGTCTAACGTTACTATGACTTCTTAATCTGCCTCCTTTGCTCTAATTAATTGTGCGTAAATTTCAGAGTTTTTAAATGTCCTCCATACACTCCATGTTCTTTCAAACGTTCCCATCTTATCCTCTTCTAGACATCAAAGTACCTTCCACCCTCTCTACCCAATCCACCATCTTGGGGATGTCTGCTAATAACCAGAACTTTGGTATTAAGCCCTTTGCTGCGCTAATTAAATGGTACAGAACTTTATTCGTATATGTTTCTATTTCTAAATTGGGCTCAGAATAGTAGAATATGCATTTCAGCGGATCTCCCTGGATATTTACTCCACTTATTTCCTGGATATAGTGAGCTATTTTCCTCCAATAATCCTATATCCTCGGACAACTCCACCAAATGTGTCCCATGTTACCCATTTCTCCACATCCTCTCCAGCACCATGGGGAACACTCCCCCTGCTGCTTATGAGCTATACCTGGTGTTACATACCATCTTGCCATGCACTTAAAGTTCATCTCTACAGTACGCATGTTTGTTAATTTATGTGTCAGTCTAAAGATACCTTTCCTTTGCTGGGGATTGATTTTTATTCCTAATTCCTTTTCCCATTTGTCCAAGTATGCAGGGGGCTCTACTTCCTCCAAATCCATAAGGATCCTATATATCCTTGAGGTGATATGTTTTGGGCTTACACCAGCATTCATTAAAGTCTCAAAACTTTTTGATACCACCTCATACTAGCAGTGAATGACGAAAGTGAGGCTTCCCACCAGTTAGGTGTCTCATCACACAGCATAAGCAAAAGAATGTTACATCACTTCTGCTTTCAATGCGAAACATGTTGACGCACCTGCAAATTATGTAGTGTTTCCATTTTTTTTTTTTACTAACCTGTGTGTATTTATATTTATATGTTTGTATCTGTTTGTGGATGGCTAGGAGTCTGGCAAGGGTTTGGAATAGTTTTCATAATTATTTCAAATTGATCATTCCACTGTAAGGAATGGCATAGATTTCAACTGGCTGCTAATTAGTCTAGAACTGGTTGACAAGCAAATTTGGCTGTCCCTTTAAAATGGTTGTAAAAGTTGAAGATAAAAAGACCTTCTGTGTGCCATTGCCCCCACAGCCCCCGTAATACTTTCCTGAGCCCAGTCGATCTTGATCCAGCACTGTGCATGGGAGCAGCTGCTCTCCCGGGTCTCTTTCTCCTCACTGATTGAGAGCTGCTTGCTCCCACTGCTGTCAATCACAGCCAGTGAGTAAAGAATGGGGTGGGGGGGCTGATCCTCACTTTGTGTGACTTATGGAGACACAGAGAGGGGCTCAGGAGCAAGCACACACGGGTACCCCCATTGCAAGCAGGGGGAGGAGCCAGGAGCACTGGCGGGGATCCAAAAAGAGGAGGATCGGGGCTGCTCTGTGCAAAACCATTGCACAGAGCAGGTAAGTATGACATGTTTATTATTTTTTAAAAAATGCACAAAACTTTAATATCACTTTAATGCTTAAAGAAGTCTGCAAAAACCCCCGAAATTTCATTGAAAAATCTGCAGATAACCTAACAGCACAATTGTGTCAAAATGCAAGCATTCAGATTTCACAGGTTTAATCTGCATAGAAAGTGTGCCTGGAAAAAGCATTTGTTATCCAAAATGAACATTACAGCCAGGCTATAATTTGCCATATGAACACATAGACAGAGAACAAGCCTTCTGGAACAATGTGATGTGGACTGATGATTCAAAGATAGAGTTGTTTGGTCATAGTTACAATAGACATTTACAAATTGAATACAGCATTTCAGGTTAAAATCTCATACCAACTGTGAAGCAAAATGGTGAAAATGTTATAGTTTGGGGTTTCTATGGTGCTTCAAAGCCTGAATAGCTTACAGTCATCAAGTCCGCTATAAATTCTGCATCATATTAAATTTTGCTTTTTTTTAAATACCTAGCACGCTTCTCTGTTTGGCATAGTAGCCACACAAATAATATGTAAATGATTTAAAATATCTAGTTAATGAATGTATTTGTAGATGTTATTATCTGTGACTGCATGTAGCTGAAGAAGTCAGTGATGCATTTTATTAATTTATATAGAAGCTACATTAATGCTTGCAAAAATTTTATGTTTTCTCCCTCTTCACAAACAGAGCTAATTTATTAATTGTAACGGAATTAGGAGACAGAGCGGCCCAGGGGCGAGCATATGGCAATCTTGGGAATACACACTATCTACTAGGAAATTTCCAAAAAGCTGTCATGTCCCATGAGCAGGTACAGTACACCTCTTTCCAGGTTTCTTTTTACCAGAAATTTTCACCACACATAGATTTAGAAGCATTCTTATGCTGCTTTATAATCCGTGCACCTCTTATCAGCTATATCCTGTAACTTTATGATCTTTGTGAGCCTTGCAGCATGCCCCCAAAACCTTTGGTCAAAATTTTTTTTATTGTTGTGTATGCATTCTTGTGATATATGTTGGTGCTCGGAGTAATAATATTTTTTCCTTGCAGCGACTTCTTATTGCTAGGGAATTTGGTGACCGGTCTGCTGAAAGAAGAGCTTACAGCAATCTTGGAAATGCATTTATCTTCCTTGGTGAATTTGAAATGGCAGCAGAGTACTACAAGTAAGAAATAACACTTTACCACCCCCCCCTTTTTGTTTTTAAATGTATTTATTTTATCAAACAAAATCTATTGAGACAGGTTGATGGAAAAAAAAAGTGCAGATGCTATGCAAACAATCTGTACTGATTGTTTTGTGTTTCCTGTTACTTTAGACTACTACGTAAATTTTTGTCTTTTAAAAAGGAATGTTACTAGTAGCAGTTAAAGTGGATGTCCACTCAAGTCCTAACTATAATTAAACCGGATCCCACCTGCATTATAAGCCTATTCTAACTACCTTGTAAAGCAAAGATGTCTATGCCTACCTATGTGGAGGGTGTTCTGGTCACATGATCAGCTCCCAGCAATGGCTTAAGCGCAGAGGAGGGACATCTGACCACAGATGCCCCATAGTAAGCCTTTGGGTGACTTCACTGTAGCCGGTCCCTGGAGAGATCATGTGATCAAACTGGAGCACCCTTCGCATAGGTAAGTACTGTATAGACATCTTTATTTTACACGGTAGTTTGAATAGCCTTAGTATACAGGAAGGGAGCAGGTTTGAGTATAGTTAGAATTTTGACCCTGGTATCTTTTAAGTTATTTATTTTTTCTTTAGTCGGTGATACTCTACAATGTAAAAACAATCCAAGTGCCTTAACCGCCTACAAGCTGACCATAGAGATGGCCAAGGACTGGAAAATCCCCGATCATTTTTATGGTCTAAGGAACAGGAAACAATGAATATTTTGTCACTTCTGATTTCAGTTCCCAGATCACTCCATAGGAGGACCTGTCACTGTTCCAGCTATCACAATAGGACATAAAAATGCTAAAAAAAAAAACAATTGAAGAGATTTGTAAAAATAAAAAAATTTAAATTTAAATTTTTTTTTAACCAATTCAATACCGGGCAATTTTACACCTTCCTGCCCAGGCCAGTTTTCAGGTTTCAGCGCTCTCACACTTTGAATGACAATTGCGCAGTCATACAACATTGTACCCAAACTAAAATTTTATCATTTTCTTCACACAACTAGAGCTTTCTTTTGGTGGTATTTAATCGCCGCTGGGGTTTTTATTTTTTGCTAAATTAACAAAAAAAGACCAAAAATTTTGAAAAAAACACGTTTTTTTCTTTGTTTCTGTTATAAAAGTTTGCAAATAAATAATTGTTCTTCATAAATTTAGGCCAAGATGTATTCTACTACATGTCTTTGGTGAAAATAACCCAAATTAGGATGTAGTTTTTAGTTTGTAGGAAAGTTATAGAGTTCACAAACTATGGTATAGATCTGAATATTGATCAATCCTGAAGTACTGACAGCCAATCTAATTTCTTGAGGTCCAAGAATGTCAGAACAGTTCAGATATCCCCCAAATGACCCCTTTTTGCAAAGTAGACAGTCCGACGTACTTCATAAGAGGCATGGCGAGTTTTTTGAAGTTGTATTTTTTTTGTCATAATTTTTCGGAAAATTAAAAAATTAAAACTATTAGTTTCACTATTTTTTTTTTTTTACATATTGTCACCAGTGCAGTACAGCATCATCATACAACTGGCATGGCGGTGATCAGGGACACTGACTGGTGACAGTATGAGAAAAAAAAATAATTTTTTTTTTCTAATTTTTTTTTATTTTTTATTAATTTTTTTTTCTTTTTTTTAAGATTTTTTTTTCATATTTCACTATGACCAAAGTAGTACAATGTTACCATAGTAACATTGTACTACTTTGGGGAAGTGATCAGTATTTTGTTTGTTTTTTTTTTTTACACAATTTGCTTATAGCAAAGAATTACTTTGCTATAAGCAAGCATTTACCTGAATGACATCGATTCATTCAGGGTTTTTTTTTTTTTTTTTTGTGCTTAGCTGTGATTTGGCCACAGCTAATCACATGACATGTGCATGTGATTAGCTGTGACCATTCACAGCTAGACACTAGTATACAATGGATGGCATGAATGAAGCCAACCATTCTATACAACTGTCATGTGACCTGCTGTGATTGGTCACAGCAGGACACATGGTACCGGCAATGGGGGCCGATACTCAGATCTGTCATCGGCCGTGTCCAAGGTACACGGCCGGTGACAGATCGCGCCTCTGCGCGGCTCTGCAGGAGCGCGATCTGCGCATGTGTGGGAGGACGCCATATGGCGTCCACCCGGAACGCTGATGACATTTGCCGGCCGCCATTCGGCCTGTGCTATGCACAGCCATGCAAAGCAGTGTGCAGGAGCTGACAGGGGAGAGAACTATGTTGTTTAGAAACAGTTCTCCCCCCTGTCGGAGATGCTCGGCAATCGCCGAGTAATCACCGGCCGGGACCCGGTGATTGACAGCCGAGGCCGCGAATGGCGGCACAGATAGGGCCCCCTACCTGGAAATGCAAGATCACGTACAGATAGGTGATTTTGCGAACCCGTGCTGCCCTGTAGCAGTACTTCTGTTATAGAGCAGACGGGAAGTGGTTAACGGCTACATTATTTTCATGTGTCATTCTCTTCCTGGGAACATAGATCTTCAATTTTTTAAACTATAGTCATTGATTTCCTTTTGAAGTAAAGTGATGGCTTTATAGCCATATAAAGCATGTAGGTAGATCAGTTATGTGTTGGCAAAGCAGTGAGAAGTAAATGCAGTTTTTCTGTGCTGGGGTGATCTCATGAGTCTGCATTGTGTTTCTGCAGGCGCACATTGCAGCTGGCCCGTCAGCTGAAGGACAGGGCTGTGGAAGCCCAGAGTTGTTACAGCTTAGGCAATACATATACCTTACTTCAAGACTTTGAGAAGGCTATTGATTATCATCTGAAACATCTTGTTATTGCTAAGGAACTCAGTGACAGGTGAGCATTAACATTACATATTATGTGACAATCTTTCTCTTAAGCTTTTAAATTCAATCAGTTCATGACTTAGTCAGATGGATTCACAATAAGCTGCAGGGAGCAGCTATGTGTGGGTGTCTCTACATGTAACAAGCTATCTTCAGAAGAATATATTATTTGTCCCTTTGCAGTAAAGGGTGTGTTTACACTGCATGTGTTGACGTGTATTTTTCTGACTGTCACCTGTGTGAGGGAGTGGGACAAACAGAAGCAGAAAGCTTCTTGTAAAGAGTTTATTGAAGAGCATAGGAGTGGTTATCTTTAGGTGTTTTTGTGATGGTATTCACCTAGTATTATTTTTTTTTATATATTTGTTTTTACTGCCAATCAATCTCTAAGATTTTGAACTGCAAGTTTTCTTTCCTTTTTTTTTTTTTTATGATCAGTAGACACAAAGATTATTTATCATATAGATTAATATTGGGCAAAGCACTCCCTGAAGTTAGTCACAGATTCTAAAAACAATATAGTAATGGATAGTGTTTTACATTTAGATGGCTTTGTGACAAATGCAAATAAACCTTTTATCAACAGCTAAATGTTTTGGTAAGGTGTGACCAAGCCTTGTTAACAGAAATGGTATAAAAGTGAATTCAAGTATTACAGTGGTTATGAATGCATTCCTTGCATTAACAACTTGCCAACCCAGCACTTATACCCCTTTCCTTACCAGGCCAATTATCAGCTTTCAGCGCTGTTGCACTTTGAATGACAATTGCGTGGTCATGCAACACTGTACCCATATGAAATTTTTATCATTTTTTTTCACACAAAGCTTTCTTTTGGTGGTATTTACTCGCCACTAGGTGTTTTATTTTTTGCGCTAAAAACAAAAAAAGAGCAAAAAAAAAAGTTTTTCTTTGTTTCTATTATAAAATTTAGCAAACAAGTAATTTTTCTCCTTCGCTTATGTGCATTGATGAGGCTGCACTAATAGGCAGCAGTGATGAGGGGGCACTGATGAGCTGGCACTTCTGGGCACTGATGGGTGGAACTGACTGGCAGCACTGCTGGGCACCAACGGGTGGCACTGATGGGTGGCACTGATGGGCACATGTGGGTGGCATTGCTGGGCATTTGTGGGCGGCACTAGTGGGTGGCACTGCTGGGCACCGATCATCAGGGCACTGATCATCAATGCCCTGATGATCGGTGCTAATACCTCCTCTGACAACTGCCGGTTCACGGTAGTACTTTCCTCACGCTGTCACAGCGTGAGGAAAGTGCAGCCAATAAGTGGCAATTGCATTTCCCGGTGATCAGTGTGTCATTGGACATAGCTGATCACGTGGTTAAAGGCCATTGTGATTAGCCTTTTACCATATCACGTGATCAGCGTAGGACACAGCAATCACGGAGATCGCCGGGTGCGCACCCCCGGGGGGCGTGCAGGAGAGCGCATTCTGGAGGACGTCATATGACGTCCACCCTGAACTGGCCGGCTGCAGCCGTCATTCGGCTATCTGCAGTCGGCAAGAGATTAAGGTAAAAAAATTTTAGGCATCAGTATCGCCCTAGCCACCTCACCCCCTTCCTTTTCCTTATATGAGCCGTCATTCGATCCAGGACTGTGCCTGTCTCACCTCACTTCCTGGTCTCACATTCTTTGCGAAGGCAGCAGGAGCCATTCCATTGCACAGAGCAGGAAAGTGTAAACCTGTTTGGTAATTTTAAACAAAATTGCAGTTACAATCACTTTAAATTCAAACTCTGACCCCTAACAATTCAGATCAAATTCCACCTTGTGATCTCTAATGTAAAAGAACAGTATCCAAATAAGTCAATGGGTATACAGTAATGGTAAAGCTACTCTCTTTTCGAACAGAGATATATATAAAATGTAGAAAGAACAACATTACAATAATACCAGAAAATGTGTATGTGTGTTGTGGGGGTAGCTCAGGTGGGGGATCACCTTTCCTGGGATAAAGGTAGTCCAGACAGCAGGGCTTTTATAAAATCTGACTTGTCGTCAGTTTTATATTAAAAAGGTTGCAAGCATCAAAAACAAACAAAACAGAAAATAAATCCTCGCCATCCAGGCACTAACTAAACACAGAAGATTCCTCTCTCAACAGTGAAGGTCTTCTCCCTGTCACCAACAAAATGAAAACCGTATGCAAACCTTTTCCTTTCTTGTACAATGCAAACTTTCATCCACAGCTCACTCAGATATGGCTCTGAGTCCCAGGCCAAGAGCAACTTCTTGCTCCAATCCTGTCTGATTGTCATCAGTGGATCACAAAATCCGGTTCGGAACCACCTCTGCCATAGTGGCCCGGAAAACCCGGAGTGGACTCCACCTTAATCTCCCAGATATGATCACATGCAAGGTGACACATAGCATCCATCGATCACCTTGCCTTTCATACTGTCACAGTGTATACAGTGCATTCATAAAGTGTTCAGACCCCCTTCACTTTTTCAACTTTATGTTGCAGCCTGATACTATAGTTGTTTAAATTCATTTTTGTCACAGTAATCTACACTCAGCACCCCATAATGACAAAGTGAAGACAGAATTTTAGAAATGTCTGTGAATTTATGAGGGGAGAAGGGCCTTGGTGATCAAGAACCAGATGGTCACTAACTGAGCTCCATAGATCCTGTGTGGAGATGGAACAAAGTTCCAGAAGGACAACCATCACTGTGGCGCCCTCCACCGATCTGGGTTTTTATGGCAGAAGGGCTAGATGGAAGCCTCTCCTTCAAAACACATGAAAGTCCTCTTGGTGCTTGCTAAATCTTTACAAAATGCACAGTTAGCGAACAAAAAAAAAGTAAATCAAATCAATATTTGATCTGAATACCCATCAGTTCAATTCATTGAGCTTTTTTGAAGAAGTACAAAGAAGCGGGCAACATTGAGGACCGTAAGTGGTTGGCCAAAGAAACTGAATGCAGCAGATGAAAAACACATCATGCTTCCTTTCAACATCGAAGATGTCCACCAGTGCCATCAGCACAGAATTGGCAGAAACCAGTGGGACCCAGGTACACCCATCTACAGTCTGGAGAGGTCTGGCTAGATGCGGTCTTCATGGAAGAATTGCAGCCAAAAAGCCACATCTCTGACATGGAGACAAGGCTAAGCGACTCTACTGTGCATGAAAACATAAGAATTTACCTGCTGAGTTCCTTCAAAAACGGTGTGCATAAGCACTGTGTGTACCTAGAAGAATTGATGCTGGTTTGAAGCCAAAGGGTAGTTGCACCAAATATTCATTTGATTTGGATTTCTTTTCTGTTCATTTACTTTCTGTTTTGTTAATTGATAAAAATAAACTATAAGGCTCCATTCACACAAGCTTTTTTTTTTTTTTTTATCTCAAAAAGGCTGGAATAAAAAAAGCTGGTAATAGTAATACTTTTAGTAGCGTTTAGAAGCAGTATCTTTTTTTTTTTTTTTTAGTTTTTACAGTAGTAGAAAAAAAAAAAAGTTGTTGAGTGTTTTAGTAGCGTTTAGCAGTGCTAAGAAGCATTTAGTGCTTTTTTTTTTTTCTGCTGGAAAAACGCTCCAAAAAACTCTACAAAAACAGGCTAAGGCTCCCTGCACATTCTTTTTTTTTTTTAAGTTCTTAGGAGCTGTTATTAGCATTTTTTCTGCTCCTAGAAGCTAAATAGTGTTATCCTATGTGTTCCTGCACACTACTTTAGGCTATTAGTGTTTTTTTGAGCTTCAGCATCTAGGAGCAGAAAAAAAAAATTGTTTTTGTAGTTTTTTTTGGAGCGTTTTTTCAGCAGAAAAAAACTAATAAAATGCTACTAACAGCTTTTTTTCTAGCATTTTTTTACATGTGTTGTAAAAATGCTAATAAAAAATGCTAATAAAATGCCAACGCTCTAAATGCTACTAAAACGCTACTAAAAACCGCTATTACCAGCATTTTTTATCCAGCATTTTTTTTAGCTTAAAATAAAAACACTACTATGCATGGAGCCTTAATACTTCTATTTCTGAAAGTATTCTAAATTTATACAGAGTATGAACAGGAGCCAGGCGCTGTGTGGTTTTGTGAGAAAAGTAATACACCTTATATGGAGGTGTGCCTTTAGTAATTCATAGGGTAAAATATAGATAACCAGCCTGTGGCTTTAAGAAGCCAAGTTCCAAGATGGATGGCCCATCCGCTCAGAGGGAAGCAGTGGAGAGTAGAACGCCTGTCAGTGCAGGGACCACATGTATCCAACGTCCCAGGTGACATCACCACGATGTAGAAAGACGGAGGGGGGAGAACCCTCGCTGGAGCCGCAGCGTTAGAAGGAAGAGGCCGGTTGCCGGGACAACAGGTTTCACGCGCATGCTCTTTATCAAGTCTGTGAAAAGTTCATCAATCGGCCATTTTATAGGAGACCTGCACGGCACAAGTGCGTTTTTTCCTCACTAATCACAGTTGACATATACCATTTACTTAATTCCTTTGGGACACATCTGTGCGCTTTTATCCAGACCGTTCTAAATTTATACTGAGACTGGCTGCAGCTTCTAAGGCTGACTTTACCCCTGAAGATCTTTGTTGAAAATTGTGTTTTTTAGATCGTTCATTTGATTATCTAAGAGTTAAAGGGAATGATTCAACCATTGGTTTCACCAAGAAGTAGTGAAAAACTTGAAGGACTGGAATAGAACATTTTTGTCAAATCTAATTTGAATGAACACATTTCTAAACATTGAATTCTCTCTAGGACAAGAGAAATTGTAACTAATATTTTGCACATGCCCTTGCCAAAATTAATCTGGAAGAAAAATATTCTTTCTACAAAAATTGTAAACAGTTACATGGTACGTTCAACAAAAATTTGTTCGAAATGAGTCTAGGAGCCATGTTCATACTTTTCCCATCCGAATGAACTTCTACAAGTGTCAGGCCAGCTTAATGCTCAATGGGAGAGACTCACAGTGAGCAGTTAAATCAGAGCACATATAATCAGTACAGGAGAGCAGCCTCTGCAATACT